AACGAGAGATACGAACTGAACGTGTTATACTTTTAATTTTTTTTCTAGTACAATATAAATTGCGATATTGGATGCTTTCAACAACGGAACACACGATGCTTGATTTCTCGTACAACAAACATACATATTGTATCATATACTGGAATACGTTCATGCATTGAGCGCTGCTTGCTGATATGTATTTTATATTATAGCTGTGTACGACTGTATCGACTTGTATCACTATTGGAAAGCACAGAATCATCGTTTATTACATATGGTAAATTCGATCTCTCAAACTACACTGGAGTGTATATTAAAAGCTGTTTTATATAATATTTATATTCGATATTGTGGAAGTCAGATGTTCGCTATTCTTGCAAATTTGCTTAGAAATTTTTTGAAAAAAATCATTCTGCGATATGGATTATCTGCGTTTTCTCTCTTTTTTATTAATGGATTCTCAACACTTTTACTGATATTAACAAGAATGTTTTTCTGACTACTTTGAATTCTAATATAACTGACTCGCAAGGCAGTATACAATATGAAGAATGTAATACCATAGATATTTTTATAGTGATGTTTTAATATTACCACAACATTGAAAATGAGCGGAGTCAAAACGTTTGTTTTGTCGTTTTGTAATTTATGATTGAATTTTAATTAAAGTTTGTTACTACATTACTGGCTCTTTGCCCTTCTTTTGCATATATTATATTGTTTTATTACAGAGCTATTATTATTTATTAATTTTGTTTTATATAAGATATTAAATGTGATACAATATAATCAACTTTGACAATAAAATGATATATATATATTTTGTTAAATAATGTGATACAATATTAGTACTAATAGTTAAAAATATTTATATACTTTTACATTTAACTTTGCTAATGTCTGGCAAAGGCAGCTTTTAGTATGCATTGATCTAGTGTAATGCAAGTAACCGAATTCGATAAATGTTGCCTACGAATATTGCTGGAAAGCATCCATATGTATCAGTTATGTATATCATTTATATACCACACATTAGTTATTGATATCTTTTGGAAATTCCTTATGGTTTAAGTATTATTCTTGTTGTAATGTCAGTTTGCACCCTCCATAAAAAGAAATGTGTGTTGAATAATGTTTTCAAAATAAAAAAGTTATATTTTTCTTGTACCAAAAATGACGATTGTTTCCATTTATTTTCCATGTTTAGAAAACGAATAATAACACAGCATGACCATATTAAGTTTATTTTTATTAATTAAAAGTTACTATTTGTGACGCAAACAGCAACTTTTAATTAATAAATTTAACATTGTAAACTTAACATGCTGCGTTATTATTCGTTTTCTAAATATGGATTTATTTTTTATGATATCTTTAAGACATCGAAAAGATTTTCAAGACATCTAAAAGACACGTTCAAGACATTTAAAAAGAAATTTTTAAGACGTCTAAAAGATATTTTTAAGACATCTTAATCCTAATATGATATTGTTACTTTTGGTTACTTTCCTTATAACACCAGGGTTTGTGAAACCCTGCAACTTTGTCACACTATATCTCTGGACTGAATACGTACTTTTTAGCTCGAAACATGTAAAATTTATACCTCGAAGTTAGACAAAAACAGAAAATATGAATCAAATAAATAATATTTTATTTTCAATTAATTACAATGCTTCAAAGAAATTTTGTTTGAAAAATTCGTAAAAAATGACTACTTTGGATAAAAAATTCTCAAATTTTTAAATTTAACGTTCAAGCAAAAACTCATAGGATTTTTTAAATTGATCCTTTGGACTAACAAAAAAAAAATAGTAGATATGAATTGCTCAAAAAAGTATAATTATATTAAACTATCGAAAATCGACATTTTTGAAGAATCTACATATTAAGTTTACAATTAATAAATAAAATTTTATTATTTGAACAAAGAGTTATAATATAAGTAGATGAAAGATTGTACATGTATAAATATTATTGTAATATGTATAATTAGGTTTATTAGGATTTAGTTTAGAGAATGATGCAACACTCGCTCTAAAGCAATAAATCCACCCGCGGCCGAGCGATCTCCGAAGACTGGCAGAAATTATAAAATTTCTACTATTTATTATATTGAAATATGATTCTTTTTAGTTCTATATTTTCGTGTATTTACTTTTATACTATCCAAAACTCAGTAAACGTATATTTAATAAAAAATAAAAGGAACCTAGAACGCCGAAAACTTACGAGTTAGTCACGTATGTGTCCCACGTACTCTCTTTGAACTTTCGTGTATTCTCACAAGAATAACGTAAAAAAATACCCTTGCAGACTTATCATATCTATGGATGTTAAAGTTTTTTTTCAACCTTAATTCAGGTCTTCAAATTATATTAAAAATTATAAAAAAATTACAGCAATGTAAAAAATCGCATAGGGTACGTTGAATCCGTGAATATCATACTCGGGTTAAAGACATCTCTCACATATCTAAAAGACATCTTCCAGATATCTAAAAAAACATCTTTTAGATAACTTAAGGATGTGTTTTGGAAAATTTATAAGATGTCTTTAAGATATGTTCAAAATATCTTCAAGATATCTTCAGATATCTGAAAGATATCTTAAACTGTAAATATAAAACATTTTTTAAGTTCCTAAAAGATATCTTTGTAAAAAATGCAAGATACCGCAAGATATGATTAGATATCCTTTAGAAATCTAAAAAACGTCTTTTTTTATTATCTGGGAGGCGACTTATTACTACATTTTAAGCGGTTCACGCGATTGGCGCGTAATCCGTGGTGAGAGGATTGTGCTCGCGACTCGATCAGCTATGCAGGTAAACTGTGCGATTCTTGGCTATAATGTGTGTTCTAAAGTGACGGCCGGTTTGTCAGTTTTTGACACCCAGACACATGAACTAAAAATCGCAATCAAATGCGATTTACAGCAATCGAAAAAATGAATCTTTACCTTTAATTTGCTTTTTTATTAAATGTTGCACGATTTCTTTTCACCGAATTATTCAACATTAAAGTAAAAGGGATCATTTTTGCTTCAATGTTGAATAATTCATTGAAAACAAATTGTACAATGTTCAATAAAAAAGCAAATTGAAGATAAACATTCCTTCTTTCGGTTGCTGTAAACCGAATTTGTGTATGATTTTTATTTTACGCCATAGACCTTTGTAAAATTTGTATAAAATTTTCAGATTGACGGATATCCATTTCTGTTCGTATAACTCCGTAAAAAATCAATCTGATTAAAATTACCGATCTTGAAAGTAGATAATTCAAGCTTTAAAATGCTTTTTTTAAAAATGTCGTTATGATCATTTTCGAAATTACATTCTTTTGAATATTTACCTATTTTTGAGGATTAGATAATCCTTCAATTTTTTTGCATAGAGTATAACATATAATTTCATGAATCTATTTTATAAGTTGTCAGAAATGTTCTTAAAAAAAAAATATTTACTTTGTAACTTTATGTTAACTCACGTATAAAAATAAACACAATATAAATAAGAAATAAGATCCGACTATGTAAATGTACAACATACATATGATAGAGAGCTTCAAAGATCGGTCAAAATTAGATCTTATGAATACAATATATTAATATTCTTAATTTTTTAAATTTAATTATCTCAAATATACACAATATACCATATTTAAAATAAACAAAAAATAAAATTATAATAATAAAATAA